AGGTTATTTAATACTGTTTATCATAAACAGAGCATTTGCTTAAATACTTGTATCTATAAAATAACAACGTTAAACATAAAAATGTCTTTAATAAATAAATTGTCGGACCTTGTCCATTTCTTAATATATATATATATATATTAATCGCCATCAAGAACAGTAATTCTCCAAATATACTGTACTCATACCAAAGGACTGCTCTAAGTTATATTTCCACAGACAACAGAACCAGGGAACACAATAAAAGCGTGGGAAAGCGCAAATCTTCAGATAAGAAAAAAAAAACTAAGTTCTCGCATCGCTGTCAGCCTTTTGTATTTCGGTCAGTGATTAAGATGAGTTCTTTATCCGACCCTTCAGCATCTGTCTATATTTCGGAGATGAGGTATTATGTACACTTTATCTCCTGGATTGACAGACCGTCCTGGGTATGACGATAAACTACACCCGCCAGCATTGTGCTAATATCGAAAGTACTTGGAACAAAAGGAATACCCATCAACATGATAATTTCCTTTCTTTCTTTAATAATGATAGTAAGAAACTTGCCTGTAATTACGAGAAGATCTTATTAAAAATAATTAGACAAAACTTCACTAAATTATATATATATATATATATATATGGTTGGACCCTGGGTTTCACGCTTTTGCGATCCTCAGACAAACCTTATTTTATATATATATATATTTGAATGACAATCGCAAAAGCGTGAAACCCAGGGTCACAAACTCACATCAATCCAACCAAATATGTTAGCTCTATCTCTGATATTGAGCGCTTTCTAATAAGTACCGTGCATATAATATATAAATAATTATATATATATATATATATATATTATATACACACACACACACACACACACACACACACACACACACACACACACACACACACACACATACATACATACATACATACATACATATGTGTATGTATGTATTAGTGGTTAGCTTCTCTGGTTGAAGAATCGGAGAGCGGAGTTCGGATTTATATCATTACATTCACTTACGTGCTAAATACCTTTTTGAAAGGTATGAATCTTTCTCTTCTACCTTCTATAATTAATTTGATTACGATGTAGTAATTTGATATGTTTAGTGTTATTTGATGATGTATTCATTTATATTTATCTCTACTATCTTGTCTAATTTGTTCATCAACAATGTAATTAGGGAAGCCATTATTAATGAAGGTTTGTTTGATATTTTTTAATCCGGTGTTGTTAAATCTTTCTTGTTGAAGAATTTGATTTTACACGGTTTAAAATAGTATAATAGACATTTCGTAATTGTTAGGACATTCACTTTTATAGTTGAGAGTACATGTTTTTATAATAGCTGACTTTTTATATAGAGAGGTAGTAAATGTATCATTATTATTATTATTATTATTGTTGTTGTTGCCTATCAATACCTTTAAAAACGAGACTTTTTGTCTTTGTTAAGTATTTCAACTGAGGTACAGTGTTTTTGAAATTTTTCTTGTAGTTAATATATTTATTATCTCCACTATTTACATTGTTAGGACTATCATCCTCATCTTTGTTGCCATATTTATCCGATCCTTCAGTATCTGTCTATATTTCTGAGATGAGGTATTCTGTACACTATTTACATTGCTCGGACTATCATCCTCATCTTTGTTGCCATATTTATCCGATCCTTCAGCATCTGTCTATATTTCTGAGATGAGGTATTATGTACACTATTTACATTGCTCGGACTATCATCCTCATCTTTGTTGCCATATTTATCCGATCCTTCAGTATCTGTCTATATTTCTGAGATGAGGTATTCTGTACACTATTTACATTGCTCGGACTATCATCCTCATCTTTGTTGCCATATTTATCCGATCCTTCAGTATCTGTCTATATTTCTGAGATGAGGTATTCTGTATTACTTATTTACATTGCTCGGACTATCATCCTCATCTTTGTTGCCATATTTATCCGACCCTTCAGCATCTGTCTATATTTCTGAGATGAGGTATTATGTACACTATTTACATTGCTCGGACTATCATCCTCATCTTTGTTGCCATATTTATCCGATCCTTCAGTATCTGTCTATATTTCTGAGATGAGGTATTCTGTACACTATTTACATTGCTCGGACTATCATCCTCATCTTTGTTGCCATATTTATCCGACCCTTCAGTATCTGTCTATATTTCTGAGATGAGGTATTCTGTACACTATTTACATTGCTCGGACTATCATCCTCATCTTTGTTGCCATATTTATCCGACCCTTCAGTATCTGTCTATATTTCTGAGATGAGGTATTATGTACACTATTTACATTGCTCGGACTATCATCCTCATCTTTGTTGCCATATTTATCCGATCCTTCAGTATCTGTCTATATTTCTGAGATGAGGTATTATGTACATTATTTACATTGCTCGGACTATCATCCTCATCTTTGTTGCCATATTTATCCGATCCTTCAGTATCTGTCTATATTTCTGAGATGAGGTAGTATGTACACTAT